AACTTTTTTCAACAGTCAGAGTCATTCCCAAAAGCATATCTGGGAGGAGGAAAAAAGCATTCAAATTCATCATCTTCATTGTCAGGTCTGGGGAAGGGACAGAAGTAGAGGGTCTAGGCTGCATAATGGACCCAACCACATGTTGAACTATGACTGACATATCTTTCAGAGTTAAAGAGCTTCCAGCAACCATTGTTGTAGTATGTTCTGTGTGAGGAAATTCTTCACTCACATCAGACCTCGTAGAACTCGCATTGAATTGTGAATATGTATTGAGTAGAAGCAAACTCAAGTTGAAGTAACATTGCAAATCTCAGCAAATTTTAACACATCTGTGCACAACTACGCCAAAGAAAAATATGAAGACTCAGATCACAAATGCATATAGGAGTTAGTGCACATAGAGATGATTCACCCTCCTATACATTTAGGGCTTTTGTCACATTAGGTAGGAGTTTTCACAAGACTAGTGACATACAAATCTCTTTGGCAGATTGCGTGAAAATGTGAGGAAGATAGTTAATATGTGTAAAGAGGTGAGTTATCGTCTTGGAATATTACTAGTCTTGCTATCACATATTCTCAAAGATTGTTTCTATACAAAAAAAAGAAATTTATTAGGGTATTAATAGTCTTGTTATTACACATTCTCAAAATTTCTTTCACATAAAAAAACAGCAACTATTAGAATAGTGAATGCACAATAAGTCAGAAACTGTGACAGATATCTGATGCAATATATGGACTCTTCCAACAGTAAACAATATAAAAAATTTAGTTTAGGGTATTAAATATAAGGAATATCCATGTCAGAAAATTCTAATTTCTTAACTCGAAAGAGCTGTTACACAACTTTACCAAAAATGGTCAGTTTTTGATGCCATTAGTGTAGTTACAGAGTGCCAGACAATGTCAAAATGTAGTTCTGATACATTTCGTCCTATCACAATTTCATAATGTCATATGGCTTGCTGATTTGCAAACTAAAAACCATTTTAATAGAATGTACCCAACCTTGTGTATTCATGGGACTGAATACAAACCTAGTAATTATGGAAAATATTTCAAAGTATTTAAATGTGAAGTTAAATATTATCATAAAAATTGTGTCAAAAACAAGAAGTGAAGAAACTTCTAAGAAATATTTTTTAAATAAATTTTATAAATGGTTGCTACATGGTTTATTCTGAATTTAATTATTTTCTCTAGGAAATATACTAAAATATGAAAAAAAATATAAAAAAACTGTAATTTATATGTTTCCTTGACAATAAGTTTCATGTAAACAAATATAAAAAATGTCCATACTCAACATATTTCCACATCAACAGCTTCCACAAAACATTAAAACTATCCTTTCTTAACAGTAAAGACATTAACCCTTTTGCAACGGGCTGATATATTTTGCATCACCTCGACTGGGGAAGGACATTTATGCAAAAAATATATGTTACTTCTGAGAGTTCCTCACAAAACCTTTTAAGATTTTGTTAAAGTTGATAAGTATCTTGTACACAAAAAAAAATACATCATGTTAATTACATCTCTCTAAGAAAAATGTTATTTATCTACAGCAGTTACTTGCATTCAAACTGTGAATAGTTTGAGTGCAAGGTGATTTTGTAAAATTTAACTTTTAATAATTATAGTTTTATCTTATGAATTTTGAAAACCATTCAGGATTGAATAAGAATAAAACTAGTATGTATATTCAGATGATATAGTATTATTGTGTTAATAAGTAACAAAGTTTAACTTCTCAATCCCATATAATATATTATAGTGGAAGTTGTTCTTGTAAAAAACATTAAGAATTGTTTTTATGTGAAAGAAGAAAGTTCCACTATAATAATAGTTTCTTGGATTAATCAATATTAACTATACAGTCCTAAAGCAACCTAAATAAGTCAAAGATAAAATAATGCTAATATATTCTGTAAATGATTAGTTCAGTCAGGATATAATCCAGCAATTTCAAAGC